ACTACTACACAGAAAAGTTAGACATGGAGAACCATGCAGATAACATAATCTTCACAGAACAGGAAACACCAATAACTGCTATCATCTGCATGAAGCTTCAACTCAGAGGGTTTCATCCGGACGCAGCCCTAACAGTACGGAGCAAGTATAAAACTTATGAAGCCCTCAGATCCAAAATAAATAAAACAAAATACAAGACGGAAGAGTATTCGCCCGTTTCTTACCGTATTCAAAGTGAGGAGGACATCAAAGAAGCAAAGAAGATTATCTACCCTGCCATTTTGAAACCCGAACAAGACGCAGGTTCCTGGGGAGTCGTGAAGGTGATATCTGAAGAGGATTGCGAACAACAATACAAAAGAATTCAAAGCATTTTCAGCGTTTCTTCTTTTGGGGAAAGGTTTGGTAAATCGATGGTCTTGATGGAACTTCTCGAAGGTCCTTCCTACAACGTTGACCTGGCCATTTATGATGGTGAGCTTATGGCCGCTTTCATAACTGACATAGGTCTTTATCTTCCAAACGTGTTTAATGATACCACCACCTGTATACCTTCTAATCTATAAGCGAAACTCAGGGATCAACTGACTACAGCTGCACATCATTCCTATTGTAAAGTCGGTTTACTTAACGGAGTTTTCAACACAGAATTAAAAATGACGCAATTCGGTCTAAAACTCGTTGAAATCAATGGAAGAGTTGGCTGTTATCGGAGATGTATTGTCTATGAGACTGTACATGGCATTAACTTATGGGAAGTCGCAGCCACAATTGCCTGCGGAATGAAGCCTCGTTTTCCAGATGCACTCCCGAGATGCTTTGCTGTTGGAGTGTATCTATTCAATAAATTCCATGCTAAACAGTTTCTGAAAGAGGACGTCCATCAAAAGCTTAGTTCTATGGCTGAAGCAAAGGATATTCTGATGGTCATGCGAACTGAAACAGCAGAGGAAAATTGTGAGGAGTTCGCTTAACCTTTTTGTCATTTAGTTGTACTCAACAACACAAGTATACAGCGAGCGAGACAAGCACTGATACAGCTCTACAAAGACCTCGGGTTCACAGAGAAAGAGTATAACCTAGAACGATTCACCAGTATGTGGGCGTAATTTTACTGTCTCGTCGACTTAAGCTTCCGAGAAATTCAATGAAGCGTAGCAACTTATTCGACATGTCATGATGATAACATTTTTTTGTGGAGATACTAATGATGACTGCACAAAAACATTTTTTCAATCTTTTTTTGAATATGGCAACAAGATGTCCAGCTTTACATGTATAACATCGGAATGAACTTTCGGCTTAAATGCTTAACTTTCTTTTCTCATTATGTGGTATATTTTAACTGCTTTTGTGGTTATGTATCATATAATTAACTAGAGGTTAAGCAACCTCTTCATAAACATGATCATAATAGTTTGTCAATTGTTATCTTACAGGAGGAATAGGATGTTAAAGATCTAGCAAAATTCCTCCCTTTTGGGACACACCATTTATACAATATATGTTTTCATGCCTAAGGAGTCTTCTTACCAAATTTTTTAGAAAAATTGACGGGCAACGGAAGGACAATGGACGAAGGACATCGCGGTATCCCTATAACTCACTTTTTCCCCTACAGGACATCCCGATCTACGTGTATAACTTGCCACTTTCCTTTACGACCACAACAAACCTTGTAGGTAACATCTGTTAACTCGCTTCTTATCTGGGTTGGTTCACGCCATCTGCATCTAGCCTGTGGCTCAGTCCAGTCTTCACATTAGGAAAGAACACACAAAAAACACTTCTCCCTTGGCTTGAAGCTTTCCCATGACGGTTTCTGTCCATGGTTCCGTTTTTTTTTTTTTTTTTTTTTCTTTGCATGGCTTCTGTGGTATTTTCTCTTACCAGTCTGTGTTCAACCTTCATGTTTCTTTTTAGTTTCCTAGCCCATTGGTTCTAGGCAATTGCCCTGATGTTCCTGTTCTGCAGACCTATTGTCATCATAACGTAGGGAACTTGTTGGTCCCTATTTGTCTGGTGATCTTTGACGAAGACATCTAAGCACAGATACTTAAGTCTTATTGAACCTTTCAACCATGCCATCCGATATCGGATGGTAGGGGATAGTACGTTTCTTTCGTAATTGGGCAGCATGCTAAACAGAACACTCTCCAATTGCACACCTTTATCTGAGTGAACAATGTTGGGAATACCAAAAAGACACAATCTCTTCGATTAATAACCGTGCTAAGGTTTGAGCCTCCATGAATGGCGTAGCTTTCTGTCCATTTGGTGTAATAATCAGATATCACCAACATATGTCGGTTCTCTAACTCAATTTCAGGTAGAACACACAAGATTTCATGCCAATAAAATGATTGCTCTTTACCAGGGTTTTTCTCATACCCAAATGTCAAACAGTTCTATTGTCATGAATGTGTTCGTAAACGGTTCGTCTCTCCGACTTTTTCTATTCAACTATACAAAAGATTTTCTCCGGTCCACATTGTTTCGAACCGTGACTAGAGAGGTATTACAGTCATATTGCAACTCTTGATGATTTTCAATGACGGTTTCTTCCCTCCTTTTCCCCAAGCGAGGACAGCTTTGTTGTCCTCATCATTCTCTGGTTTCTCTTGTAAAGCTGGCTCCAAATTCCTCTGATCTTCCTCATCTTCAAGTGCCAAACTTACTCCACAGTATTGCGGTGAATCGGGAACAGCATATATCTGACTTGCCTCCAAACTACTGCTTTCCGGACTGCCTCCATTAAACTCACAAGTGTAGCAGGTGCCGATGTCAACCCAAAAGGCTTCACTCGAAACACATAAAATCCCGTTCATGTGGCAAACAGTCTTTTGTTGATCCTCTGGCTCCACTTCCACCTGCAAGTAACCAGAATTCAGATCTAGAGTCGAGAACCAGCCTGCTAACTGCTAGTGTTTGGTGTTTCGTCTATCCTGGAAAAGGGAATAAATAGGCGCCATGGATGCTTACCGCGTTTAGTTGTTGATGGTCAACGCAGAACCCGGTCGCGCCATTATTTTTTCCAGACAAGCACGATAGTCGAATTCCATGGACTTGAAGATTTCTATAACACTTCTTCTTTAAACATACACTCAACCTGTCTACCACAATTGCCCGGGACCCTTCGCAATGGTTGCTTGATAGGCTAGACGTCGCATCTCTCTCGTGCCTTTTGCTTTCTCTCCAGTAGCTGTACTCTATACATCTCTGTTTGATCAGGTGGAGAAAAGCGCTTCTCTAATGAGATAACTACCTATAGTAGATTTCTTTTGTCATCCCTGTGCGACAGTATCTGTGCTCCCTCTGCCCGACTGTTCTTTTCTTTTTCGATAAGTCACGGGATCTGCGTAAACGTCATGGCTGTGCAAGTGTTCCAAACTGGCATTACTGATTAAGTTGTCAGATGCTCTACTTGAAACACGCATGCTACCTGCTGGCATTCCCAAACTGTCTTACCTAATAAAGTTAAACCATACACTGAGCCTGTGTCACAATCATGATACCAGAGTCCAACATACGTGTTGTGCTACTTGACTTATAAACAGGGGTTGAATCGTCATTACCCTAAACATCCACCTCCGTACCATCGACCTCAGAATCCTGATCACAAATAGCATCCTTCAAATCATGACTAATGTCATCGGTATACTGAGATGTAATTTTATAATGCCAGAAATCACAAGTGATCAGATACTATATTTCAGGCAAACAATACTCAAAACTGCTGTATCGTGCCCGAACAATGGTCGAAGCTAAGTCAAACAGCTGTTTCAGTATGTTACAGACGTAACATGTGTGAATCAAAGCAATGACAAATGCACAAAGTGTGGCCATGGGTGATACTTTTGTTCTTAGATTACCCCATTATAAAGGGGTTTTTTTTATTAAACTTTTGAAAAATAAATCCTTGCTAAAATTGGTTATGTCATGTTGAATGAACAATGTGGGGTTTCATTTTTTTTTTTTCAGAATAATAGTTTTTAGATTTGTGTTGGAGATTACTATTTTGGCAGTCTCGAATCCGTGTCTACATACCAAAAATCAGCTTTACAGAAGGTGAAATCTCCGTGGTTTACATGTGGTAATGTTATGAAGGATTTCCGAGTTGGATTTCCTGAAATGTAAGTAGTTTGTTTCCATGACAGTGTTCTTGATTTTGAGACAGGTGTTTAGAAATAAATTTCTTCTATAAAATTGTAGTGTTTGGTTAGAATTAGCAGTATATTTTGGCTATTTTAGCATTTTTTCAGTTTGTAACCATGACAATCACAATAAATATATATATATATATATGTAATGGTGTATTTTTCAAAACCAAACTGCTGAACCTATATATCTCAAACATGACTAATAATTTCAGGGAAAATGCAAATTACCTGTTTCCAGCTACATAAGCCATAACGTCTGTAAGACAGTAAATACGATGTAAAATAAATGAATTTACATATTTCAATCTCCTCAAATTCTGGCTTTATAACTCAAACTTAGTGCGAATTGAATATTGTTTTTAATTAATTAATTGACAATATTGTGACCGTCATGAAAAGTGGACAGGTTGTGATTTTCAATGAATTAAAGACAAGTACCTTGGTTACCATATAAGTGCACCATGATAACATGACAAACATATTTTCAAATAATCTATTGCTTTAAAACTCCGTCTTTCATAGTTGAAAATAAGCATCAGTTTTGATATTTCGGCAAATTGAAATCATTTAAATTTCAACAAAATTAATTAGCCTGTAATATGTTAATAGGATCGGACAACAGCCTTTGCCTATCTAAGTCCTAGAATGAATATTCTGTTGTACATAAAATCGATCCAATCGCTTAAAGCTGATAAGGGGAGGTAACTACAGTTTGCTATGGAATACATAAAAAAAACTAGATTATGGTGCAAAATGATCATTTACACTTAGCTATAGGCTTTAGAATTTTACTGTTCACGTTGTGTGGCGTTATTTAACATTGAGATCACCAGTGTAAAAATGGCCGGACAGGAGTATATTGTATACCCGAATCAAGTGAGGGAAAAACTGGATGGCAAGACGATTCTTGTGATCGGATCTAGTAACAGTGGCGCACGAAAGGTGTGGGACATTTTTACTCAGGTAAAACTCAAGGTAAGTAACAACATTTGAAGACATCATGCTATTGAAATATTTAACGTTCGTATCATCCATTTCAAATGAGAATTTTCAAACTCGCAAGACATGAACAATTTTGTGACTGTCAGAAATCGAGGTTAGACTGTACAAAATTTCCCAAAAGCAAAAGCTAATATTTCTCTCAATTATTTATTTTCCATGTATCTATTTTTAGATAAGCTATGTCACGTTCTCAAATGAGGCCAAGGTATATAACAATGGAACCAACAGGCAAACTAACGTGCATTAAATACGTTCAGCTTCACATCGCACATAAAAAATGAATATTTTTCAATGAGATCACTATGAAATATTCAAATTATTTATACTTACTGGTAACGAAATATAACTATGACAAATACAAGAGTGTGTTACTAAAGATACGACAAAAAATGTGGGAAAAGGGCAATAAACGAAGTGGGACATTCTAACTTGCGTTTGCTGATTTAAAAACCTGTTGCAGGATTGTCAAAAGCACCGCTGTCACTACTAGTGTCGTCAGAATTACGAGAAAACATGTTGTGATCACTTAATACTTTGATCCGTTCAGCTATTCATGATTGTATGAATGGCCACACTAAACCTTCAGGCCATTACAGGCATAGGTGAGATTCTAGAACATCATGGACTGTGAAGCTCTGTAAATATGTTTCATTGATCATAGCCATAGTGCTTAATTGTGGTAATGATTCATTTGTCCATTTTTATCTATTTCGATCATTCTCCCGTGAAACGTTCTGCTTCAGAAGTTTTGTTTTTCATTTTCTACACGTCAATGGATGAGGCCTGCTAATTTCTAGCTACGACATTTACTGAAAACACTGAGCTTTAGACAAGTTAATATCACACGCATCGACACTGAAGCAATCGCTTGAATTGCTATGTTATATCTAGCATTTATATCACGGTGATAACAGCTGCAAATGCAGTAAAAAAATATATACTACATGTTGTGTGAAAAGAGGAGTTTTTTCTCACTTGTGTACAGATTCATGATGTAGTGTAACTTCAGAGTAAAATGTTTTCATTACCTGTTCACAAGGAAGATTTCACTCCGCTTTAAACTGTAAAATGCTCAAAATTCAATATTGCGTTTACTTTGTGGATGCTTTTCCCCAACAAACATTTGAATTATATCGTTTAACAGATAATATATACCATGATCTACTAATATTATTAAATCGTCCCCCAGAGTGAAAATGGAGTACATTAAGTTAGAGACAAAATTATTGTATTTTTATTTGTATTCACAAGAAAGCATTATATTTAATAATTTTAACACATTAATTGGCTTTACCAAATATAAGTATTCAATATTTCAAAGAAACTTTCAATTTATTATTAATCTGCTCACCATGTTTTAAAGAAAACTGTCTGCCGATAAAAAGTTATACGTTGAATTTCTTTTCTACAGGTCATAATGGTGGCACCTCAGGCTTCAAATTTCGGGGCAGACAAAGTTGATACATGTATCTATTATGACTATTACACAGAAAAGTCAGACATGGGGAAACATGCAGATAATATAATCGAACTTCTTGGAGATCGTGTTAGAGATATTGACGGGTGTTTTACCTTCACAGAACAGGAAACACCAATAACTGCTATCATCTGCAGGAAGCTTCAACTCAGAGGGTTTCATCCGGACGCAGCCCTAACAGTACGGAGCAAGTATAAAACGTATGAAGCCCTCAGATCCAACATAAATAAAACAAAATACAAGACGGAAGAGTATTCACCCGTTTCTTACCGTATTCAAAGTGAGGAGGACATCAAAGAAGCAAAGAAGATTATCTACCCTGCCATTTTGAAACCCGAACAAGACGCAGGTTCCTGGGGAGTCGTGAAGGTGATATCTGAGGAGGATTGCGAACAACAATACAAAAGAATTCAAAGCATTTTCAGCGTTTCTTCCTTTGGGGAAAGGTTTGGTAAATCGATGGTCTTGATGGAACTTCTCGAAGGTCCTTCCTACAACGTTGACCTGGCCATTTATGATGGTGAGCTTATGGCCGCTTTCATAACTGACATAGGTCTTTATCTTCCAAACGTGTTTAATGATACCACCACCTGTATACCTTCTAATCTATCAGCGAAACTCAGGGATCAACTGACTACAGCTGCACATCATTCCTGTTGTAAAGTCGGTTTACTTAACGGAGTTTTCAACACAGAATTAAAAATGACGAAATCCGGTCTAAAACTCGTTGAAATCAATGGAAGAGTTGGCTGTTATCGGAGATGTATTGTCTATGAGACTGTACATGGCGTTAACTTATGGGAAGTCGCAGCCACAATTGCCTGTGGAATCAAGCCTCGTTTTCCAGATGCACTCCCGAGATGCTTTGCTGTTGGAGTGTATCTATTCAATAAATTCCATGCTAAACAGTTTCTGAAAGAGGACGTCCATCAAAAGCTTAGTTCTATGGCTGAAGCTAAAGATATTCTGATGGCAATGCGAACTGAAACAGCAGAGGAAGATTGTGAGAAGGAGTTTGCTGAACCGTTTTGCCATTTAGTTGTACTCGACTACACAAGTATACAGCGAGCGAGACAAGCACTGATACAGCTCTACAAAGACCTCGGGTTCACAGAGAAAGAGTATAACCTAGAACGATTCACCAGTATGTGGGTGTAATTTTACTGTCTCGTCGACTTAAGCTTCCGGGAAATTCAATGAAGCGTAGCAACTTGTTCGACATGTCATGATGATAACATTATTTTGTGGAGTTACTAATGATGACTGCACAAAAACATCTTTTTTCAAAACGACGTGAATCTGGCTATCACAAGAGATGTATCGTTGAAAATGGAATCTGGGATCGAAGTCATATTTAGCACACCCCTTACTTTAACTTATATTGTTTAATGGACATCAAACTACATATAATTGACAACTTTTTCTGTATCTGAAAATAATTTCATTCTATACAATTTCGTTCGTTTTGCGATTTTCACTCTGTACGCACTTCGGTAATGGCAACTATTTTTCACCTTTCTCGATGTTATTTTAGAAATAAAAATCGTTTTAAATTAAATATGAAGTGTTTATTAAATGCAATTATCATCACATCAAGCATCTCTGTTAGTCCCACATGCATTGGCCTACCCAAATACAAACATTTTCTTCGCCTGATGGAGGGGATTACTGGTCTTGACAGGATAATAACTAATTAACTGGGCTGTGAATTCACCAGGATATGGCAACAAGATGACCAGTTTTACCTTATAACATATAGGAATGAACTCTCGGCTTCAATTTGATTAAAATATGTCAAAGTAATCATTGATTGTTTTTGTTTTGATACCAAATAAACTTTTCATATTCCTTATTGTTGGTTTTTTGCTTTTATTTCATTTTCTTATGCTTGGTAGCAAATATTGTTTAACAAAGATATATTCCTTCATCTTTTATACTTATTAATCATATAATCGTCTAACTCTTCAAAAACATTATCATAATAGTCAGTGTTTGTCAACTGTTATCATAAGATTTCAAATCATTCTTACAGGAGGAATAGGATGTTTAAGATCTAGCAAAATTCCTCCCTTTGAGACACACCATTTATACAATACATGTCCCCATTCCGAAGAAGTCTTCTTATCAAATTTGGTAAACCGCGGTATCCCTATAGCTCACTTTTTCCCCTACAGGACTTGCGGCTGCCTTCTTTGCTAACGGCCTACGTGTATGACTCCCTTAAGACTACATCTAAGCTGTTAGGTAACATTTGTTACATATATGTTTTGCCTTCAGTCTACTGGTTTCCCATTATTTGTCAAAGCTTCTTCCTTGTCTGCAAGATCTTCTGATCAAAGCATCGGCATGCTGATGCTGAGCCCCAGGTCGGTGTACAAAGTTCATGTCATACGAGTTCAGCTCTTGAAACCACCAGGCTATTTGTCCCTCAGGTCATTACAAAACAGAAGCCAATGCAATGAACTATGGCCCATGAATATTTGGCATACAAATAGTGCTTTATGTACTTTTTCAAATGCACCACAGCAAGTAACTCTTTCCCGGCAACGAAGTATTTCCTCTCTGCTTTAGTCATAGTGCGACGCCACCTATCACCCGAGAAAGTACTACCCCAATGGCTTCGTGGCTAGCATCGGTATCAAGGATAAATTCCTTTGTGAAATCCGGATGAGACAACACATGTGTTTTACTAATGTCTCTTTCAACTGCTCAAGTGCCTGATGACATGTAATGTCCATTTAAACTCTCGGCCCTTTTCTGTCAACATATGAAGATATTTGGCAATTTAAGCGAAGTTCCTTATAAACATCCTATAATAGCTACAGAATCCCAACTCTTTCACATTGTGAAGGATAGGCCATTGCTCGACTGCTGTAGTTTTACTAGGATATGTGGCTATGCCTTGCTCTGAAACCATATGACCTAGTTACAACACATCTTCCTTGCATAGGTGTCATTTTCTTGCCTTTAATTTCAATCCCGCCGGCACGAGTTATGCAAACACTTTCAGGAGGTTGTCCAAATTTCCTTAAACGGTCTACCAATTACGATCATATCATCGAGGTAGTTGAGATATATCTGCCAATACAGACCAGATAGGACTGCTTCCATGTACCTCAAGGGTAGCAGGTGCCGATGCAAACCTAAAAGACATCACTCGAAACTCATGCAATCTTTTGTTGATCATCTGGCTCAATCTCAACCTGAAAGTAACCAGAAATCAGATCTAGTGTCAAGAACCAAGAACAGCCTGCTTACTGATATAGTATTTCGTCTTTCCTTGGTAGGGGATAGGCGTCATCGATGCTTACTGCGTTTAGCTGTTGATAGTCAACCTCATTACATCAATTTTCTTCCTGACAGGTACGATACCCGAACTCCGTAAACTTGAAGATTTCTTTACTTCTACCTCAACAAGCAAGTAACCTGAATTCAGATCTAGTGTCGAGAAGCAGTTTCGTCTATCCTGGGTAGGTTTAGACGTCATGGATGCTTACTAACTGTAGCTGTCGATGGTCAACGCAGAAATTAATCGCACCTTCATTTTTATAGACAAGCACGATAGCCGAAGTCCATGGACTTGGCGATTTCTGTATCATTTTTCTCTTAAGCATGCCATCATCTACCTAAGACCCAAGATTACCCGGGGCCCTTCTTAATAATTGCTTGATAGGCTAGGCTTCGCATGTCTCTCATGCCTTTTGCCTTCTCTCAAGTAGCTGTACTCTATATATCTCTGTTTGATAAGAAAAGTTCTCCTCTAATGAGGTAATAAAGGAGTCATAAGTCATGTAGTTCTCATTATCAAACCAACTATTCATTATCAATCCTCGCATATGCCTCAAAACGGATTTATAATCCATGGTGCCATCGTATGTAGCGGTTTTAACTATATTAAATTTCATTCATCTTCCCTGTGTGACTGTATCCCTCTGTTCCGCTGTCCTTTACTTTTTCTATAAGTCACATGATCTGGGTAATCATAATGGCTTTGCAAGTGTTCCGACCTGTCATTACCGATTATGTTGTCTGATGCTCTACTTAAAACACGCTTGCTCTCTGCTGACATTCCCACACTGCTAGTACCTAATTAAGTTAAACCATACACTGAGCCTGTGTTCCGAGTCTCAGAATTGGGCACAGTCATGATACCAGAGTCCCACATACGTGTTGTGTTACTTGACATTACTCGAAACATTCACCTCTGTACCATCGACCTCAGAATTTTGATCACAAATAGTATCCATCAAATTACGACTAATATCATAGGTATACTGAGATAACATTGTATGATCACAACTGATCAGATACTATATTTCAAGCAGACAATGTTTAACACTGTTGTAGTATAAGTAAGCCAAAACCTTACAGTGATCCCGCAACGCTGCTACCATTATTTTGTAACGTGCCGTGGGGTCAATACCAAGTTTTACGTGGATCCCTGTATACTTAATGGTAGCTAGTAACTTACTTTACTATCGCAGCAAATATACTCAACAAAAAAAGATAGCTTAACATGTTTCCTTGGCGAATACCTGTAAATGAGTGAAAACAAAATGACGTTGTGCAATATTAGAAAATGGTAATGTTTTACATTACGAAATCCAAGGGGGTTACCAAAATCATTCAAGCGTGAAAGTCTGCGATAGAGCTGCACGAGGTTTTCTGCGACTAACTTGTATCTTCGCTTGAATTTCATAAACCTTCAAACTGACAACTGTTCCTTAGATCCTTAGGACTTAGAAATCACCGAATCTTGCTATCTATCAACTTAATCATTATGCCCCGGCTGTCACAAGTACAGAGAGAGAGGGCTGTAGGCATTATCCAGGCTGGGGAGTCTCGCCGTCCAGCTGCACGGCATTTTGGTTGCAGTGTTAAGACAATTTGCCAGTTGGTAAGTCGTATAAACCAAACGGAGTCAACATCCGATCGTCCCCGAAGCGGCCGACCCCGTAAAACTACCGCCAGGGATGACCGTCGTATACGATTGATAACTTGTACAATCGATTCGTAGCCGCAGTAGAGACTACAGGGACATTGTTTGGGCGTCGTGTGTCTCCCCAAACAGTCCGCAACAGGTTGAGGGCCTACCAATTGAAAGCGCGGCGTCCCTACACTGGACCCAATTTGTTGCGACGTCACCGAGTTCAACACCGTTGGGCCTTACGAGAATAGAACAATGTTCTGTTTTCAGATTGAGTCCAGGTTTTGTCTGCAACATGGTAACGGAAGGCGCAGAGTGTGGAGGCGACGAGGGGAGCGTTTTGTGAAATGCTGCGTCGCAGAAAGGGACCGCTTTGGCGGCGGAAGTGTAATGGTTTGGAGTGGTATTTGTGGGGGGACTCGTACCAGGCTTGTTGTGTTAAATGGCAATTTAACCGGCATTCGATATCGGGACGAAATTTTAAGACCAGTGGTTCTGCCATTCTTAAGACGCCATGCCGTTGGCGCATTTTTCAACAGGATAACGCACCAGCGCACACCATTCGCGTCAGCAGAAGTTTCTTGCAGCAGAATAACGTACAGGTGTTAGATTGGCCATCTAAATCACCTGATTTGTCACCGATTGAGCACGTCTGGGATGTTCTTGGGCAACGCGTGAGAGAACGTCAAAAGCAGCCGTCAAACTTGCAGCAGCTGGTCCAAGCCTTGATCGCTGAATGGAACAACATCTCTCCTCGAATTATCCGCCGGTTTACGAGGACCATGCGACGACGCTGCAATGCTGTTTACTTCGCAAACTGTAGCCATACCTGTTACTTATGGTGTTACCTATGAAATTGACCCCACCGTCTTTTACAGTCGAATAAATTAACTGAACGCAAAGTTTTATAATGAACCATGACTGCAGTTTTATCAGAATTGACCAATTACTTTATTCGTACATGATTGGTAAGGATTTATGAAGGGGTTAATTAATTAATCACAGAATAAAGTATTGTTACCTTTCTTTTTTTGTTTAGTATATATACGGATAATGGGATAAGTACAAACTGCAACCACTAAATATGTACAACGTCACATATTTAAATCATTGACCACAATATACAGTATATTTCAGTTCTAACCGTGTGCGGAGTTATTTATACATATACAGCAACGCTAAGTAAAAGCATGTTACACAGGTAGGAGCTTAGTAACTGCTCATTAAAAAA